ATGATTGTACACCAAGCACATCTCCAATCTATGTGTAGTGTGGTGGGGCCCAACTCTTATGTGTAGACCTACGTACACATAACCCCTAAGAAATTACCACCGATGAGGAACGTCGCTTTAGGTTTTCTTTTTCATAAAATTTAGCTTCAATTAGGTTAATTTCAGCTGCAGTCATTTGTTAAAAATTTAAAAATGGTTGTCGAATGGTTAATTAGTAATTACGTTAATGGTAATTGAATGTTTGAGTAATTATGTAAATCATTATTCTTATGGTGATAATTATTCAAATTTCTAAAAGTTAATGTTAAACCTACGAGACACGGTGTCAACGTTGACACCGAATGATATTATTTATTAAGTCGAGTCATCAAAATTTGAAATTAAGAATTGGAAAATTAAGCGCGCTCATATAAAAAATGTAACGTAACTTTAATTTTTAGTCTGAAATTTGAACTTAAATAATATGATAAAGCCAATCTTTTTTTTTAACAACAAATTTTGCTAACTTAGCCTAATAAATAACGTTGTTTGGTAACTCGTTAGCACTCAATGGCGTCAGATAGAAATTAACCTTAATTTTTGTTTTTTTTTTGGTCGAATGATCATTAACATGACTCTCAAAAACTTGAGGAACTAATGTTATAAAGAAATCATTGGAGTGATCATTGACGTAATTACTCAAAATTCCATTCCTTGTTGAAAGCATTTTACACAAGTGCAAGGTGTTATTTCGATTAAAATTTACAATTATATCCGACGAGACGTACTACGAGACACTGTCTGTGTTCATGTTGACATTTAATAGTGTCGCATGGGATTTTTGTTAAAAATTTTAGCTACGTGACCGTTAATGCGATCATAAAAACGTTAGTGATGATTGTTGTAAGAAAAATAATTAAATGACCAATATGAAATTTTTAACAAACTCAGTTACTGTTGCTGGAATTAACTCTTGCTTCTATTTGTTTTCCTAGCATGTTTGGGTGTCCTAGGGGTGAACAAAAAAAAAAACTATCAAAACATAAAATCGAATCGAAATTGTTAGTTTGGATCTACATGGACCCGTCGATGTTTTGCTTCGAAGAAGAGGATTATAATGTTTTTCACACACCTTTTGTCTTGTCTACCCAAAAACGCCCCCCTCCTGCCTAAAATTCTTTATATATCATAGAAATATTAAGTCGATGTCCAGTGGAGGGGATAGAATTAAACTCCACGTCATGAGCAGCAAGCAGCAACTTACAAGAAGAGTTTTCGAACCAGAACTCCATAGACTTAGAATAAGCTGACGCGTATGGGAACAAAAGGTGAACGATTAGGAACTTTTTGCCTAGGAGTTATTTCTTCGGGAAAATCTTCTTTATGAGTCGAGTGACTTGGGACTACCTCCTCACTCAAAAGACTACATTCTATGGAAGATGGTTTTTCGACTTGCAAGTTAAGTCACCACAATAATTTCGCAAACTGAGTCAAGGGCATCGAAAATCATTAGAATTTCCAAGTACAAAATCTGTTCACCCCAGTGAATCACTGGTTAAAGGGAATTATACCTTTCACATGTAAACACCAGAGAACATTATTGCATTGTTCTGGTTCGACTCATAAAATCACGAGGGGCCATCTTTGTCAATCCTCCCTCCACCACAATTATCAGCATAACAGAACTTTCGTATCATTTCGGACTAATCAACCACTAAATTGTAAAACTGTCAAATATTGAGGCATAATCAGCAGAAATTATGAATGCATAGTGATAAAACACAACGAAAGAAGCATAGTTACTTTCTAGAAGAATGAAATGGTGTGAGAGACAAAATTGAATAATTTCCCACCTAAGGTTTTATTAGAAACTATCAGATATCTTCTCTATTGTTTGGTTTCTCAGGAAAAACGAGACACGGATAGAGACTTGCTTGACCGCCAACACATAAAGTAAAAACCAGCCCAGCCCTACTGAAAATATTTTGTTATACAGCATTGGAACTCAAAGTTATCCAAGGGTGTCCAAAAGCTTTTGTCTAGAAGATGCAAGCTTAGAAGCGCAAGTACATAAAAGTTAGCAAATGAAAACAAACTTATGTAACCTAGTCTTCAATTTCTACGTGCATAAAGAAAGGGATGTATAACATGTCATGTCCATCAACTTAAACAAGAAGCTATGCTGATGAGAAATTATAAACTTGGGATAAGCATGATTTCCACAGAGTTCATTTCGAGGACGGACCTTAAAATGGTCATAAAGAAGCTACCCGTCCATATTTGATCACTGACATGTATGCAAAAGGTGGGGAAATGATCAAATTGTTAAATCTTATAAAATGACATTTCCTCTACAAATCTAAAACATGGAATAACCCACAAAATAAAATAAGTAATTGGCGAAAAAAGAAAAATTTTAGGCTACAGAAAATAATCATTTTGTTTGGAAAACCGATCAAAAAGAAGTTAGATTGTGTCACATAACATATTTAGAAATAAGAAAGAACCTTCACTGAAGTAATCCTCAAACACATCACACATGAAAGCCAATTATACCAAAAGCATTGGTATAGGAAGAATTAACATGATTCAGCAGAAACTCACCATAACTCATTTAAGGAATATCCTTTTTCATTCACGAAACTAACATAAGGGACTCTTTAAGAGCTAAATTCATAACACGGGCATACTACTCAATACATCAGAATTATCTCATTCAGCGCCACGATCCCAACAGTAATTAGAACTTCCCCAATTGCATACTGTTTTTACAGGGTTTTCCAGCTTTCTATTTGGAATTTTATTTAAATGCGTAATAAAATTTACTACCACTTCCCATTGACAAGTGAATATCAACCTATGATTTGTAATCACACAAACGCTTTACATGTACCAACATTTTGTGAAACGTCAAACTTAAAATATGTATTGGCATATTAGAAGTTCAAGCCTAGAAAAATCTAAACTTAAACATGCATCCTGAAATGCTCCAAGTCAGAATATTTATATACAGGAAGAGTCCTCAACGTTGCTTTATAAAAGGTGCAGAAGCATGTAACTTCATTTGTAGAATTGACATTTGCAAATCAACACTGACATGAAAACAATAAGCAGTAACATATGTTAGGTTAAAAACCCCTAGAACATACAAAAACTTAGAACTTGTCCGAATTCGGAAACATACAAAATCCTATTTAAGAAGATTACCCCATCCCCATTAAGTCCACGAGGCTTCTGATACCATGGTATGAAAAAACCCTGCTGAGGCCGGCCTTGAGGCCCGCCTCACTGTGAAGCGCAGCTTCTTTGCCTCAAGGCTCAATCTGTGAGGCAAAAAAAATGAGGCGCACATCTCTATATCTGAGGCAAAAAAAAAAATGAGGTATGCGCCTCATTTGAAATACGTTTTTTTCAGGTTTTTGAAAAAGAATTAAAAAATGTCATCTTTAAAAAAGAGAAGCGCCCATTTAAAAAGACAATTTGAGCCAAACAAAATATTAAAATATCTAGAATACCAAAAGGCAGCCAGAAATCCTTCTACACGGCAGCCAAAAATCATCNNNNTCTGATACATGAATAAACTTCTATAGATTTCGAAAACTCATCGTGTAAAAACTACACAACTCAATCCTGGTATCACACAATGGAAGAACAGTATAAAAAGAAAGTATGGTGGTATCGTGGCATCTTAAGATATGGTCATTATCGTTGTTAAAGAAATAGAAAAGTGGACAAATTCCACAAAAACAGAGTTCTTCATTTTACAAACAGAAAAGAATGTTACCAAATCTAGCCATAACATTTGAAAACAGTTATACCTTATATCCGGGTACAAGAAGTATCAAAATCATCAGGAGCCACTCTTGCAATCCAATTACTAAGTGTCTTCTTTACGTCTGCATGATTCACATAAGCCAACTCATACATACTACACAAATTCACCACAAGTGTCTCATTCAGTGCCATTGTCGGAATTCTCTCCAATGCACTCTCCAATACCTTAATCGAATCCGATAAGTCCCTCAAGTACATCAAACAAAGAGCTTTGTTATTAATTGCCACAACATCTGATCCATCCCTCTCTATACACTCCTCATACTCCCTCACCGCCGACACATAATCCTTCCCCACCAAGTAAATCATCGCCTTATTCCTACTAACCAAATTCTTAAAGCTCACATCACCACTCTCACGCCCAGCCGCCATTTTTTCTACTGCATCAAAACTCATTTTCGCCCCTTCCAAATCGCCGTACTGCATTTGCACACAACCCAACTTAGACACCAACACGGGATCCTCTTTCTCGCCTATCTCCGCCCTCAACAAATCCAAGCACACCTTAAACTCCTTCTGGCTCAAATGATAACTTATAATCGTATTGATTACCAATCCCTCACGCTTTTTCCAGATCTCCTGCGAAACATTACTATCACTAACACCCCTATTATCACGCTCATCAATGGCTCGGGATACGGGTTTTAATTTCTTATCCCGGATGAAATGCAGGAGAGAGTAAAGGCGGTCGAGGGATAATTGTCTGTTCCCGAGGGTAAGCGGCAAGTGGGCTTGAAGCCAACGGAGCGCAAAAGGAACCATGGATCCCGGGTGCTGATTTGGATATTGTTGAGGATAGGATTCGAGTAAATACTGCTTGGAGTCCAGATCATCGTCTAGGTTTTGGAGTTCTTGATGGGCATCGGAGAAGCGGCGGAGTTTGATGAGAGCAAGGAGGTTGAAGGTAAGGTATATTAGGTGTTCATGGGGCTTGTTGAGGAGCGAAAGGGATCGAGCGCGTGCAACTTTGTCGAGGATAGTGCGCCATGAGCCGCGACAGGCCAGGTCTTGGAGGATGGATAACTCGTGGCAGTGGGAATTGAGAGAGGAATATGGGTTGGAGAGCGGATCTTCCACCAGATCGGCGAGAGCGGTGGTGGTAGAGGAATTTGCTGGTGGTGATTCGGGGATTTCCATGGTGGAGGCTATTGTGCGCCGGTGGATACGACTACAGCTCTTTAAAATCGAGTTTTGAGTAGATTGGTTTATGACTAACAACTTTGCAGATGTAAGTAGGAATCGGGTTTCTATTAATTTAATTTATTTGACGTGAATTTTCTACATTTTGCCCTCGTCTTACTTTCATTTTTTTTTAAATACATTTTTTTTTTCTTTTTTCTTTTTCAACCATACATTTTTCAATAAAAAATATTACACAAAAATTCAAATTTTTTTCTTATTTTTTAATTACATATTTTTCATCATTCTACTATTACAAAATACATTATCTACCTTTTAATGGGGCTCAAACACATTTATTTTGGCTATTTTCTTATTAATGAATATAAAGACGTTATTTTAAAAAATGTATCACTTATAGTATACTATATAACGTCTTACTATTAGCAAACAAAGTCGATGTAGTAAGGTATCACCATCTTAGTAAAGGACGGTCAAATGGGGACAACAAATCGTAACTCGTCGAAAATATGGCATCTTATGAGAAAAATCCTTGTTCATTTTTAATCACAATTAGAATCGAAAAGTTATGAGTAATATAAATGATTAGACACTGAACTTTAACTTGTGTAACTACTTACTAATCGTACTTTAAAATGTAACTCAATGTTCACTCAATTATCCTAAACGTAATTCATATATCATTGAGATGACATCCATTTGAAGCTTTTGATGAAACTGTCCACGTGGCCGATACCGTTAAAACACTCCACATAACTCTCCCTTCCAAACTGTCACAAACACCACTTGAACAATTGGCAACACGTTTTTTTAACACTTGAGAGAATTAAATAAGGTCATCTAAGAATCACTCCCAAATCTTCACTCTTCTCTTGGAGATGCCTCATTCATCTGATCCCCAAATTGTCGAAGGAATATTATGCCTTTCTGGTGAAGTCCCTATTGTCAGGAATCATGGACAAAAGAATGGGCTAGCGATTTAATGGATGTAGATTTCATGGGCAACAAAAACTATAAGTTTGGGTTTTGGCCTCTTTTTTGTGAATGTTCTTATTCAATTTTGGTGGTTCAAAAAGTGAAAGTGTATACTCATGAAGAAGGGAAACAACCAGAATGATTTTTGTCTATGTATTGTTTGTCAAAATGCCTCTTAGAGCATTTGTTGTACATTGACATATGGTTTATGGTGCAATAATTTGTGTTGACCTCAAAAAATGAATCAACAGATGTCAGACACATTCACACCAAGTCAAGTACGATACTGACACATTCCTATCGGAATGATGACGGTAGCAATGAGGAAATGGACGCGAGAGGTACTTTGGGGCAAAATTGTTCGAGCTCTGACATGTGGAAAGCAATCGCACTAACAACGATTATTGAGTTGAAACCAAACTCACCTCTATAATCATAGACAAAAATATGTAGAAGGATAGATAAAATGTTAATAGGTTTCTTTCAAGAGTTCAAAAATGCATATTTCGAGCATATCATCCTCCCTTTTTAATTATAAAGAGGACTTATTTATACTGCATTGGTCGACATTGTGTCCGTTGGATCAGGATCACGTGGCCTCATCTCTCAAATTGGGGCATCACATCACTATCTATTCATACAATTAAAACATAGGTCAGTTGCCCTATACAATAGGCTGACACACTGACAACTTTATTACAAGTGTTACATCACTCACTTCCAATAGATTCTTAAATCTATTACAAGAGACAATGTCGACTTTATGAGCTTCGGATGAGTTGGAGGCCTCTGAGAGATCTGAGATGGTTCTCTCAATTGGACTTCAGCTCCTTTCTCAATTTCTTTAAATAGCTTCGTCTTTGAATGAGTGCTTTAGCATGGACTTCGTCATGCAGCATGAGGTGCGAGGACCTCGGCCAATTTGTCTTCTTTGTATGTTTGACCTACTGGATCTTCTTTTGACTTTCTTGTTGACTGTCATGCCACATGGCCTCGTTTCATTAGGCTTCAGAGGCGAGGAATAATAATAGTCCCCTAAATCTAGGCATGCTTATTTATGTAATGCATGGACTTATTCGTGAAAATAAGAAAAAGGTTTCGTAGGGGGGTGGTTTTTCGTTATGTTGGTATTATGGGCTATTTAACTGGTGTTAAGGGCTGTTTGGAAAGGTAAGATGTTGACATGGAGTATTTTAACGATTAAATAATGCCACATCAGATTTTCATTCACCACGTGGACAGTTCCGTCAAAGGCTTCAAACGGATTCCATCTCAGTAATGGATGAGTTACGTTCATGATATTGATTGAGGAATAAATTACATTTTAAAGTTTGGTTTGTAAGTAGTTATACAAATTAAAGTTTAGTGACCAATCATT